GGGTCCCAGGACGAGTGAAGGGAAGGGAGATGGGTCCCCAGCTTGCGCCTCCTGGGATGTCACCAGCCAGGTGTGTCCGCCTGGGCAGGGGCAGGCCTAGTGCCTGCCGGGGAAGCCACGGATAAGCACAGAGAGCCGGGGGAGTGGGGAACAGGGGCATGGGCTCACCTGTGAAGCTGCTGCTGCCGCTGTCTGGAGTCCACACGGCTGCAGGCTGCAGGCTGCCGGCTGCAGGAAGAAGGGGAAGTCAGGAAGCTCTGTGCTGGGTGGCCTCTGTTCTGTTGACCCCCCGCCCTCACATCTCCGTCACTTCTCTCTGCTCTCCTCCCCCTACGCCTGCACACCACACTCCCACTTCACTTCTTTCACCACCACCAGCCCTTTGCTTCCTCTGAGCTGAGCGCTCCACCGGCTGGCCCCTTGACCTCAACCCCGAGGGCCTGCACCCTGGCCAAGGGTGTCGAGAGGGAGGAGGGCTGGGCAGCGCGGCACCCCGCAGGGTCCAAGACTTGCCTCAGCTCTGTGCCCTTGGGCAAGAGATGTTGCCTCTCTGGGTCTCAGTTTCCCCATGGGTAGGAAAGGGAGAATGATCCCTGCCTGACCCGAGGACCAATGAGACTGACGATGGCAAGGACCTCAGGCAAAGGCTGGGTCACTGCCTGGCTTCAAATACCTGCCCCATCATTTACTAGCTGGGTGACTCTGGACAAGTGACTGAACTTCTCTGAACCTCGGTTTCCTCTCTCTGAAGCGGAGATAAGGACAGTACCACCTCACGGGGTAGTGCAGGCTTATAAAACGTAGTGCTGCAGAGTCACTGGAAGTGCTCCGTAACGAAGCCTGAGGCCTAGAGAGGGCAAGGGCCGGGCCCAGAGTCACCCTGTGGCAGAGCCCTCTGGGGAAGGGCCTCCCTGGGAGCAGAACTCAGAAAATGTGGCCAGAACTGGGGGGCTAGAAGGCTGGCCAGCTTCTCCTTGAGCCAGGGGTCTGGCGGAGCCTGCCCCCCACAGCCACCTCCTCCCCAGCACCCCACAGGAAGGGCAGGTGTCTGTGTGCCTCGGTGGGGAGACAGGGTGCTCTCCTGCCGGGCCCCCAGCGGGACTCCCCGGGAAAATTCTGACTCAGGAATGTGCTTTTCTACCCGCCAGGGGAGACGAGGGTGCAGCAAGAGGGAGAAAGAGGCAAGTCCCACCATGGTCTCCCTCCTCCCTGCCCCCACCCCGGGGCCCTTCCGGCATCAGATCAGCCCCAGCACAGCCGGCAGGTAGCTCAGGCGGCCTCTGTGGGAAGGGGGAGGGAGCTGCTTCCAGGGGGGCAGGCCCATGTGTCCAGGCCGCCACCCCAGCTGTGCTGCAAAGGCTTTGCAGGGACACCTGTGCGCCTGTGTCCCGACCCCTTGGCCACACTCCCCCTGGTGATGTGGACAAAGCCTTGTCCTTCTCTGCACTTTGGCCATGACCCAGACCTTGACCTCTAGGCCCTTCCTTTTTGAGGGCTCCTGGCCGCCTCTAGGGTTGCAACACCAGCAGCCTTCCTCCTCATGCTGTCTGTGAGCCCAAAGGAAGCCCCTCTGTTTTCCGTCCTGGCTATGTGCCAGCCTCTCGGTGCCCTGCCTCACTTGGGGGTGCTAGTTACCTAGCCCTGCACTCCAGATCCTGGGATTCACTGCCAAGACACTCCCCAGCTCAAAAGCCAGCAGTGGCTCCCTATTGCCTTCATGGTCCAGCCCCAACCAACTTCTACTTCCACTCAGTTCTGGATGTGCTTGCCTATCCTTCCCCTCTTCCATCTCTGTCCCAGCTGGGATGAACACACGTACCTGGACAGCACCCCAGCTGCTCTCCATCCCTCAGGGCTCAGCTCAAGCCCGCCTCCTCTGGGAAGCCTTCCCTGCCTCCAATTCCCTCATAAAACATTCCGATGCTTCCACATTAGGAGGCATGCCAGCCCCTTGTTCAGTCCCCCAGGCAGGGAGGAGGGCAAGCCACCTCCCACTCCCTACCCTGGGAAAGCCACACACCATTTCCAGGGAAGTCTCCCCACGGGGGACAAGGGGTACTCCCCCCAGTGATCTGTGAGAGGATATAAGCAGGACCCCTGACAGGACATTAGATAAACTGAGTCACACCACGGAAAACCCACTTACTTTTCAGTCTTTCTCAATCCTGGTTGCATCCAGGAGAAGCCTCTGTTAGAGCTCAGTTGTCTCCAATCCCTCTTGACCATTGCCTTGTGTCCTTTTTCTTTCATTCTCCAAGCTTTGATTGGACACAGGAAACAGGATATCTGATTTTTAATGATTTTTTTATTGTGGTGAAATATATATAACAAAATTTACCATTTTAACATTTTTAAGCATACGGTTCAGGGGTATTGAGTACATTCACACTGCCGTGCAACCATCACCACTGTTCATCTCCGGAACTTTTCCATCTTCCCAAAGTGAAACTCTGTCCCCATTAGACACTCACTCCCCATTGCCCCCTCCTCCAGCCCCTGGCACCCACCCTTCCACTTTCTGTCTCTATGGATTTGACTGCTCTAGGAACCTCACAGAAGTGCAATCACACCGTATTTTTTTTTCTGCTTTTTCCCCCCAAAGGTCCCTAGTACACAGTTGTACATCTTAGCTGTGGGTCCTTCTAGTTGTGGCATGTGGGACGCCGCCTCAACATGGCCTGATGAGCAGTGCCATGTCTGCACCCAGGATCTGAACCCGTGAAACCCTGGGCCGCCAAAGCTGGAGTGCGTGACCTTAACCACTCAGCCACGAGGCTGGCCCCGGATCACACCATATTTATCCTTCTGTGACTGCCTTATTTTACTCAGCATAACATCTTTATGGTTAATCCATTCTGTAGCATGTGTCAGAATTTCCTCCCTTTTCAGCGCTGAATAATATTCCTTTGAATGCATAGATCACATTTTGTTTATCCACTTGTCCACCAACAGACACTTGTGTTGTTTCTCCCTTGGGCTTCTAGATCCGTGACATTGTTTGTTTACATGATATTTATTTTTACAATTTTCGTCTATTTATGGCAACGCATACATATTTCCTATTTACCCTAAAATACACATACGTCCTAAAAACTGAAATGATTTCAAGGAAAATGCTAAGTAAATAATGTCACAAGTGCTATGTGTTGATGGCGAAAAGCGGCAGAGATACAGAACGGAGAAGTGCTGAAGCGTGGAAAACATTAACACAAGCCTCAATGAGAAACCCCACTGTGCGGAGATGGGGAAAGGAACCCCCCAGGGGCTACTGGGAGGCTGGCACCAGATGAGCACCGCATCCAGAGGCCAGCCTGGAGGCGTGGGTCTAGAAACAGGAGGGACAGTGAGGGCACTGAGCCCTCCCAGCTGGGAGACCCTGGGCCTGCCCCTTGACTTCTGATCCTCACTTTGCTCAGCACGCCATGGTGGTAACAACCCCCAGCTCACAGGGGGGCTGTAAAACAGATAATTCATGTGAACCGCCAAGCCTGTGGTCAGCGCCGAGGTTGGTTCCATGAGCGGGTGGCTCCCCCCACCCCACCCTGCAAGAGACACCCCTAGGATAGCAGTTTTGCTTCCTCCCTCAAGAGAGAGCATCCAACTGTGAGGACTTATAATTGGAGCTTAGATTCACCATCAATTCAGCGTCCTCCGCCTTCTCCATCCCTGTCCGAACCTCCAGAAATTCTGGGAAAGAAGTCTGGGCTCTTGGTGCACGGCTGTCCTCACTGGCTGGGAGACTTTGGGTACATCTGAGCCAAAAGCTTCCCTGAGCATCTCCCCAGCTTGAAAATGGGGACAGCCCTGTCCTCTGAGGACCCAGCATCCCAGTCTCGCAGGTCCAAGGAGCTCAGCAGGCAAAGGCCAGCCACTGCACATCGACAGATCGGGTCCCTCTCAGACACACGTATCCCTCCAAAGTCTGTCTCTAGGGGATTGTCAGACGCTATCAGCGTCTCACCATGCAAACAGAAAGCAAATGAACAGACAGTGAAACTGCAAATCTTGCACAAAGTGTGGGATTTTATGAACGTGGTGCAAGTGATGCCATGGAACGGAGCAGCAGCTGACCGCAGAGGAAGAGAGACGGCCAAGACCTTCCAGAGACAACTGGCTGACTCTCAGAGGATTCAGAGTGACCCTTTAGTTTTGCAAAAATGACCCTCTTGCTGCAAACAGCTGATTCTTCGTTTATTCTAATGCGCGCGTGCTTGCAATCGTAATCTAAATATTGTTAATTACGGGCTAAAACTAATTTATCTTCATCATTTTTAGTTTCTTTTCCGAGGTGCCGGGCTCCCGTCACTATCTCTGGGAATTTCTGGTCCTCTTTCGAGATGGACGCACCTCACCCGGCCCTCCAGGTTACAGGATGTGGGGAGGAGACGCCCTCCCGGCGCCCGCCCAAACCGCAGACACGCTACTCCCAAGGGAGGAAGGCCCTACGCGCCTGGGCGCACGCAAGGGCATTACGGTAACTGCCCCGGGCCGGCCAAGCGTCCCCCCACGCTTCCCAACACGCAGGAGGAGACTCTGGTCAGTCCTTTTGATGTACAAAGGGGAAACTGAGGCCCGGTGAGGGGCAGAGACTCGCTGCTCCACGTCCACTCGGGGGCAGAGCTGGCACTAGGAAAGAGGCAGGTAACAAAAGCGAACACTTGGGAGTACGCGCCACGTGCTGAGCCGGGGTAGACGGTGCCCACGCCTGCCGCGCGGCGCCTAGGACATCGTTGGCGCTCGGGAAACCTGAGGCCGCCCGGCCGAGCCCCGCAGGGCCCCCAGACCCTGCAGTCAGTCCCCAACTTTCGGCCCCATGAGAGGGTGGGGCCTCTGTCGGGGTCCGGCACGCTTCCTAGCACAGCCCGCGGCCCTCGCCCCAAACTCAGGCTGGGGCCCCCATCACAGAACTCGGCGGCCTGGGGTCACCGCCGGGCCGCAGCCCGCCCAGGCCCCCAGCCTCGCCGGCTCGGCTCCCTCCCCCTCTTCCCCCACCCCCGGGAGGGAGGAGGAGACTCCGCGGCCCTCCCTCGGCCCTCCCGGCGGCGGCCGCAGCCAGCCCCGTGCCCGCCCCGCCCAGCCGCGGCGGGTCGGACGTCCGGAGCCCGTGGGTCCCCGGCCGAGGTGAGCGGGGGCGGCGGTGCAGGGCGGGGAGAGCCACCGTGGCCGGGGAACTCCCTCCAGGCCACGGACCTTCCGCGGGAGGGAAGAGGTTAAGCTGGGGGGCGTGCTGGAGGAGAAGGGAGCAGCAGCGGCTCCCGCGTCCGCAGCAACCCCCAAACTCAGCAGAACTTTCTAGTCCCCTCCCTGGGCTCCCCCACCTCGCGGGGCCCCCGGCCTCGGGTGCGCAGGGGCCGCCGGGGTTGGGGGGCAGGGCAGGGCCCCTTTCGGAATGCAGCGGCCCGGGCCGGGGAGGACGGGAGGGGGCGGCGGGTGGGGGCGGAATTTGGAACGCTCCCGGGGGACCCCACGTGGTCACCATGGCGAGCGCGGGATGGACGGGCGGCGCGGGCCAATCGGAGCACGGCCCCGCCGTCCGAGGCCCGCGGCGGCTGCCAATGGGGGCCGCGCGGTGGGGTGGGCGGGACCGCGCCGGCCGGGCCGGGAGCCCCCGCCGCCCGCCGCCCGCCGCTAAGGGGAGCGGGGCGGCTGGCCGGACCGGGCGGGTGGGGAGGGGATGAGGGAGGGAGGCCCGCGAGGCGACACGGGGCCATGGGAGGGCAGAAAGCGAACTTCTGGAAGGAGTTGGGGCAGGTGGAGCGACGGCTCAGCGCTGGGAGAAGGGAGTGGGCCTCAGTTGCCCCACCGTTGTGATGGTGCCGACGGGTGATACCCGTCAAGCCCGTTCCCCACCGGGGGCTTAAGTTTTTCCGTGGCGGTGGTACAGGGCTCTGTGGGGTCTCCTTGGGTCATGTTGGCACAGGGTCTGCCCACTTGTTCGATAGAGCTTTTAGGAATTTTGTTAGTGCCTCTGCCCATCGTAGAGGTAAGGAAACAGGCCCAGAGAGCGCAAGGACATGCAGATGTCACACGGCATGTCGGTGACAGAGCTGGGACTAGTGGGGTGTCTGCTGTGCAAGAGTGAATAGCACAAGGAGTTGCTGGGAGGCCCAGAGCTGGGGGCAGCCCCCACGAAGGGCTCTCACCGTCTCCTGTACCGGCTATGCCTGGCCACTTGGCCTGACACCTGAGACTCCCATCTTGTAGGTGGTCCCAGGGGCGTCTTGCACCCCAGGCAGTCATGACCCAGGAGGGGAGGCATCTAGTCCCAGCGCTCCAGCCCCCCAACCCCTCCACTTGGCTGCTGGTCCTCTATGCGGATGTGGATGAGTGGCTGCTCCTCTGGGCCTCAGTTGGCCCAATGTAAAGAAAGGAGTTTAACCAGTGACCCAGAATATCTTTGTGGCTCTGGCGTCTGAGATGGGGGTAACTGGGAGCAGGCCAGGGGGGCCCTACCCCGGGGCTCAGGTCCAGCTCCCCGCCCGCCTTCCCTCTCAGTCTCTTCTGGAGGTCCGCTGGTGGAAGCCCAGGCAGCTGGTCACAGGGACAGGTGCCTGTAGTTTGTGGGCTGACCAGTCTGGGACCCTGCACTTATCCAATCAGGCTGTCCTCTGTGGTTTCCCGCCGGGCTCTGCTCCTGCCCACAGCCAGGCCTGTGGCCAGGGGCCAGCCCCAGTGCCCCACCTGAAAGGCTCTGGGAGGACATAGGGGCTTTCTGAGCTGGAGCGAAGAGTTGGGCCGCCGGGCAGCCCCCAGTCCCCTCAGCTGGCCCCCGTCCAGGCCTCAGCATCGCTCACTCCTCCTGCTGGATATTGAGAGTCAGCTAAACATGCTAAGGACTAAACACAAAGTTTTCCCCCTGTGGGCAGTTAGGCTTCCTCAGGTAAGGGGGCTGACCCCTGCCCTGGCCATGAGATGACCTCTGACTCTGACCTTGGCCATAGAAAGGCTCAGACACCTGCCTGTCTCAGAGCCTAGCCACGGACTGACTCCTGATCCTTAGGACGGACTGACTCCTGATCCTTAGGACGGCTCAACCCTCCCTGGTCGCAAGGGGACTCCTAGCTGTCCCTCTTCCCTCCATCAGCCTAGGAGGCATTTAGGCAGCATCTGCTGCATGCTGGGCCCTGTGCTGACAGCCAGCAAGGCCAAGATGCCCTTGTGGACTTCACAGTGTGGCCATCGCTGAAGAATAGGGAGGTGGCAGTGCTTTGGGAGCACTAACATACTCTGTGTACCAGATCAGGAAAAGCCTCCCAGAGGAGGGGAAACCCAAGGTGGGTCTTGAAGGATGCATAGAAGTTTGTCAATGGAGAAAGGAGGAGGGAGAGACATTCCAAACAGATCCACAAGCAGCTGACACCACTGGTCACTTTCTGTGGACAGGGCTTATGAGGGCCTAGGCTGAGGCGAGTCTCGGATCCAGACATTCTTGTTTCTGTCCTAGAGTGGGCCAGCAGCCGCCCAGATCCGTGAGGACGGCTGTGGGGCCGGGCTGCGGGAGCTCTGAGTTCCCCTCGGTCCTGCTACCCAGCTCAGGGCTGCAAGGTCCCAGTTCAGCCTTCTCCTCAACACTTCACCAGCCAACTTTAAGCCAATCCTGCATGCAGGGCCTGTCCTAGAAGCTCTGGGTGGCACAAGTGTCGTGTCTGGGTGGGAGGAAGCCTGAGCTTCAAGAAGAGAGGGCAGCTGGCTGCATCTGGCTGTGGAAGGTTCTAGGGCTATGCTCCTTGGGGTAGGGGGTGGGGCTGGAGAGCTCAAGGCATTTCCTAGAGGTGGTAGAACTGAGCTTGAAGGATGGGTGGGGGTTTCAGAGTCTGGGTTGGGGGGGGGGGGCATTCTGACTAGGAGGAACAGCCTGAGCAGAAGCTCTGGGCGTTAGAGCAAGAAGAGACCCATCTGGCTGTTAGGAGGCAGGAGAGGGGAGGGTGGGGCAAAGAAGGCCCCCGGGGCCTGTGGTGTCTGGTCCATCCCTGAGTTGCTCCTTGGGGGGCAGTGATAGCCTGGGGGAGTCAGGAGGCCACCCCACACACACATATATGCATACCCCGTGGGCAGAAGGCGCAGAGCCTGCTGGGGAGGGGCGGCAGGGCGGGGCAGCCGGAGCCTGTCTCTGTAACTGTGTGGCATCACACTCTAGTGAGTGTGTATGTTACCAAGGCTGTGTGAGTGCGTGTCCCCGAGGCTGTGTTGTGTGGGTGTGGGGTGGGAGCGGGGGGAGGGGAGGCATCGCTAGGCAAGGTCTGGCTGCCCTTGAGTCTCCGCGGGTGTGTACGGTTCCTGGTGTTCCAGAGGGTGGGCTTCTCCAGAAAACCAGCCTCGGGACCCCCACCCCCACCCCTTCCCCCAGGTGTCCACGCACACCCTCCAGGGGACCCTGGGCCTACAGGAGGAAAGGCAGGAGGGCTGTTCAGAGCCCGGCTGGGCCCCCTGCTCCCCTTCCTCCTCCCCCAGCCCCCAGGAGGGGCCGGGCCAGACCGCTGGGGAGGGGCCCAGGAGCTGAGTGTAGAGCCCACCCCTGCCTTGAGTGTGGGCTCCTGGAAGCCATCAGGAGCCTGGGTGGCGCCTGCCCTGCCCCTGGCGACGGGCTTGGGATTCCTGGAAGGAGCGGGCCGCCCCTTCCCTGCCGAGCCCATGCCAGGCCTGGCAGCTCCCAGAGGCTGAGAGGATGTGGCAGTGGCCCCCTCCCTGCCACCCTCTCAGTTTAGGGGCTGCAGGAAGGGCCCAGCAGAGGGGGCCCAGGCCCCAGGACTCCCTCACCACACCTCCCCCCCCCATTCCTAGCACAGCTCAGGGCCGCTGGGCTGGCACTCACATTTCCTGTCTCCCTCCCCTCCTGTCTCCTTCCCCTCCCCCGCACATTGTTTTCCTTTTCCAAGAGCTTCTCCACGTGGAGCCGGGCCAGGAAAATGGGGAGAAGAGGAGTGTGTGTCTGGATGCGTGTTTGTGTGTGTGTATGAGTGTGTGCATCTGCTTGTCTTAGGATCGAGTGTGTATCTCTGCGTGTCTCTGTGTGTATCCATCTGTGTGTTGGCATGTCTGTGTCTTCAGCTGTGTCTGTGGCTCTGTACCTACAGGCAGGCATCTGCATAGTTGTGTGTGCACACGGGTCTGTTTCTGAGTGTACGTGTGTCAGCCCGTGTCTTTTGTATCTGTGTTTCTGTGTATGGGGATACGTGTGAGTCTCAGATGTCCTTGGGTGTGTGGGGTCAAGGCCAGCCACCTCATTGCACAGGTGGGGAAACTGAGTCACAGAGAGGCCTCGGTGTGTACGGGGAGTCGGTGGTGTACGGGCCCCGAGATCTGTGTGGCGGTGTCCGGGTGCGTACCTGCAGGGGGTACTGGGGCTGACACATACATGTTTGTGTGTGTGGAACCATGGATGGCGACGAGACATCACCGAATACTCACATGTCCCACACTGGGACTGTTACATGCAGATTCCCAGCCCCACCCCCACCGAACATGACTCCAGGGGGTGGGGCCCAGGAACTGCACTCGAAGCACGGGTCCAGGTGAATCCGGGGGACCCCTTGATCAAGAAGCACTGGCCTCCCTCACCCCCTGCCCCCATTCTACTGGTGGAGAAACTGAGGCCCAGAAGCGGGCAGGGGCTTACACGAGGCTGGGGACAGAGCCGGGCCTAGAGCTGATGCCTGGTGAATGCAGACAGGCAGTAAACAAACGGTGGACGGACTAGAGAACTAGAGTACGATCGCTGAGCCACGCTGAGGAACCGATGTCATGGTCATGAGTTTAAAGGACAATGTCCACACGGAGGGGTAACACCTGCCATGCCTGGTTATCCAGGTGAAGGCGGGAGCCATGGAGGTGACCAGGGTTGGCATTGCCTGGAGAGACAAGACCAGGAGAGGGGGCTGGGCACCACAGGCAGATCAGGACCACGGACTGTGAGCTGGGCGAGGAGGGGAGGGACAAGGCGGGCCGTGTGCACAGTGAACAGGTGGCAGGATCAGTGGGCCGTGGCTCCTTTTGGGATTGAAGGATTTTCGGAGTTGGTGTCCTAGACGGAGTGAGCTTGGAACTGACACTAGAAAGGGTCACAGCCATTGGTGACGACAAACGGTGTGACCACTGGCATGATCGGGTTTGCATTTTTAAAACCTCGCTCTGGCTGCCGCTGTTAAGAATGGATTTGAAAAAGGCAACAGGGAGAGAGGAGGGGGCGGCTGCAGTCGCTCAGGTGGGACATGGTGGTGGTGACCTTGACAGGTTAGTGGCTGAGTAGGAAGAAGGTGGACAGATCTGTGTGATGTGTGGCAGACAGGCTGACAGGACAAGTTGGGGACTCAGAGAGACAGCAGATTCCAGAATGTTCCCCATAGCATGAGGGAGTGACGACGTCCTCTTCTCTTAGAGGGGCATCCAGAAGGAGGAGCTGATTGGGGGGGAATGGAGACGGTGGATTCAGTTTGACCAGGCGGAGTCTGAGTTGTCTGCGGGACATCCTGGTGGGGGTGCAGGCAGTTCTGGAGGACAGCCTGAGAAGGAGAGAGATTCAGCATCCTCGAGGAGATGCCTGAGGCAAGGGCAGCAGGAGAGGAGAAGGGGAACCAGGACTGGGTGACCCCAGCACTCAGGGGACGAGCCCAGGCTGCCCACCAGGGAGGCTGATGGAGAGCAGCCGGAGAGGAGCAGAGAAAGCAGGAGGGACGGACGCTGCCCAGAGCCAGAGAGGGGACACTGGAGAGGGCTGAGACATGCCCAGTGGGTAGAGGAGTGGCATGGCCTGAGGAGAGAGGGCAAGGGAGGGGGACAGGGTGGAGACAGCAAGTGTGGACCACTCTGGATGGGCCTTGAAAGGGAGGAGAGAGGGGTGGCTTCAGCAGGGGTGAAGCCCCCTGGAGAGGGCATCATTGGCAGGAGTGGGAGAAGCTGGAGGCGGGAGGAGGGGGGACCTTTGACCCAAGGAGGGAGAGCGGCTCTGTCCTCTTAGTGGCAGAGAGGAGGGGGCCATGGGGCTTGGGGCAGGACAGGGAGGGAGTGCCAATCTGATGGCCTCCCTTTTCACTGCAATCTCTGACATCAGATCAGCTGCCAAGAGTGAGGGGGTTAGAGGGTGCAGAGGGGACACGGGGCTGGCCAGGCAGTGTTGGGACCAGCCAGTGTTGAGGCACTCTTCTGTGGTACCGCACTGGTCCCTCAGAAAAGGAAGGGATGGCGATTGGGGTGGGGCCTTAGGGGCCAGGTGAGGATCATGGGACAGGCTCAGCTGAAAGGGGAAGGAAGTGTGATGTCCCCAGGGGCTGCATGAGGCCATCTGGAGGTAGAGTGTGGCAGGTTAGGGACAGAGAGGGACGCATGTCTCATTTATTTTAAAGGGGACGTGGCCCACGAATAGCAGCGCCCCGCAGTGGGTGCACCTGCCTCCCGCCCATCTAATAGACCCTGGTTTATTCCCATCATGCCTCTGGGACACGCCTGCCTTCACCAAACCCTCCCCAGTGCTCGCATTTGGACTCCTAGGTACCGGATCTGGATCAACTCCCAGGTTAACCTTGCTGATCCTCCCTTTCCTCCTTGTAAATGTTGATCATTTTCCCTCAAGCCTATTGAGAGGAATAAAGGGGATAGTTCACATAGGGCATGGTACCTGGCCTGTAGTTGGCCCTCCACACATGTCACTGTCATTGTCGTGTGCTAAGACTAACACAGTGGCCAGGAGCCAGCCCTTGCCTTCAGCAGACTCACAGCCTCCGGTGAGGATGGGGAGTAGAGGGACACATAAATGGTACAGCGAGGGTGATTAATGCAGTGATGAAGACCCGGCAGGGGCCGACCACCTGGCCTGAGGGGTCCAGGAGCACTTCAAGGAGGAGGTGGTATGGCAGATAAGCTTTAAAGATGAGAAGAGTTAGCCCAGTGCCGGAAGAGGCAGGGAGGGGACTCCTGGCAGCACGGCCAGCCTGGAAGCATCTGCATTCAGAGTGGAGATGGGGGGAGCAGTACCCGCCATTCAGTGTGTGAAATGGGACCTGAAGGTCAAGGACAGCAAGTCAAGGTTTCAGATCAGCTGCCGCTGCTGCAGCATGAAGGGACTGAAGCAAGGCGTCTGGAGGCCCTGGCTCACCATTCCAGTCTAAGGGGGGCTCGCCTGGAGCAGACCATTTTCTCTCCTTCTGCCTTTGCCCATGCTATTCCCTCTGTCAGTTACGCCCTTCCCATAGCTGATCTTATTGCTGTGGACAGATGGTGGCCACAGCCTAATAATGGTTGTGTTCTCCCACAGGTCCGCGGAAGCGTGCCCACCCGGTGACCGCGAGAGCAGTGAGTAGCGGTGGCCATCATGCACAGCGGTATCGTGTCCGCCCCGCGTCGCCCCTGAGTCTGGCCGCGAGTTCCAGCTCAGGGCCCGGAGCCTGCCCGTCCACGTGGCCACACCATGAGCCACGGGCCGAGCCCCCGGCTGGCCGAGTCCCCGCAGCTGTCCAAGGGCAGCCTCCTGACCATCCTGGGCAGCCCGTCGCCCGAGCGCATGGGCCCTGCGGACTCGCTGCCGCCCACACCGCCCAGCGGCACGCCCTCGCCGGGGCCCCCGCCGGCGCTGCCCCTGCCGCCCGCGCCCGCGCTGCTGGCCGACGGGGACTGGGAGAGCCGCGAGGAGCTGCGGCTGCGGGAGCTGGAGGAGGCGCGGGCGCGGGCGGCGCAGATGGAGAAGACCATGCGCTGGTGGTCGGACTGCACGGCCAACTGGCGCGAGAAGTGGAGCAAGGTGCGCGCCGAGCGCAACCGCGCGCGCGAGGAGGTGCGCCAGCTGCGCCAGCGCCTCGACGCGCTCACCAAGGAGCTGGCGGGCGCGCGGCGGGAGCGCCAGGAGGCGCAGGGCGAGTGCGAGGCGCGGGGCCGCGAGCTGGCGCGGCTGCGGGGCGCCCGGGGCTCCGTGGACAGGACGCCCGACGGGCCCGAGCCGGAGCGGGAGCACGAGCCGGTGCGCGACGTCGGGGCGGAGAGGCCGCAGGGCAGCCAGGTGTGCGGTCGGGCGGGGGTCGGGCGGGGCCTTCGCGCTGGGGTCTGGAAGTGGGAGCGGCTGGTTGACCTGGGCAGGAGGGAGGGCCGCAGGACTCAGAAGGGGAGAGTAAGGGCCTGGTCGCCTGGGAGGTATCATCCTCTGGGTAAGGCTCTGCCCCACAGGGCCCCAGGCCACCTCTCCGGAGACCTCCAGGCCAGAGCGTCCTGGGCTCTGGTGGTCTATCCACTCCCCTTTGAGCAGGAGGGCATCTAAGAACTTGCCTAGCAGGCATCCTTTAATAGCAGAGCTGAAGCCATCCTTTCGTGCAGCTGGAGTTTGGGGGAGGGGTAAACATTTCTAACGCTCATCGATCAAAGCTGTGGGGTGGAGGGTTGCCGGGGCACCAGGAGCACAGAGGAGGTCCCTGTTCCAGGCCTTGGGGGGGGTGGGGGGGTGGGGGGGGTGTCTTCACAGAAGCTTCCTTGGAAGAGGCCCCGTTTAAGCGGAGACTAGGAGACTGCGGATTAGTTAACCGTGGAAAGTGCAGGAGAGCGTTCCCGGGTTGGAGAGGGTCTGTGCAGAAGCGCAGAGGCAGAGAGCGCCCGGCGAGTTAGGGAACCGGAAATCCGAACAGCACCCGACATTCAGTGGGCGCCCGCACGGCCCTACACAGTGCCAAGCGCTGCCCATGCGTTATCCAGTTAATTCTCGCAGCAACCCCAGGGGGCGTTTGCTTTGTAGAAGGGGACCCTGAGGCATGAAGAGGTTAAGTACCAGTGTCTCCCAGCGGGTGACTGGAGTTGCGGGGGGGGTCGTTGAAGATGGGTGAACTCGAGGCCGGGTAATAATCGGAGTGGCTGGAGTGTCCACGGTGGGTGTGGGGGGCAGCCACACCAGCAGATCTGTCACCAGAAGGCCTTCCCGGGCAGAATCCAGCCTCAGCTTGCCCCCCAGCACCGCTCCCAGAGGGACTAGCTGCTCCAGCCAGGATTCTTGGCTGCCCCTTCCCCTCCCCTGCCAGCCCCCTCCGCAGGCTACAGTGGGCACTGCTGCCTCCTGGTGGCTTCCCCAGGGCTCCCTGGTGTTTGGAGGTGGCACTCGTTGCTCTTTTCTGGGGCAGTGTCAGCCAGTCAGCCAGTCTCGCGGTGCTCTTCCTGTCCTGGCCTTGTTCTGGGTGTCAGCCACGATCCGGGAGGTGGCAGGTACAGCGGTGGCAGCCCTGGGGCTGCAGTCTGAGGCTGCCCTCAGCCCAGCCACCTCCATGCTCTGTGACCCAGAACAGGTCCCTTCTTCTGTCTCCCCATTTGGGAAAACAGGGCTTTGGACCAGGTGGCATCTGAGGCCCCCACGCACAGTCTGAGCTACAGGAGTAGACTCTCACTCCTCAGGGAGTCCTCGGGGCCACCGTCCCAGTGCAGATAGGGAAACCGAGGGCCACGCAGGGAAGGAGCTGGCCCAGACCCATCTGGAAAGGCCGTGGGGGAAGCCAGGCTGCAGCAGAGGCCATGGGCATCTCGGGTTTGTGGTCGGAAGCGGGCCTTGGGGGCAGGCAGGGGAAGGCTGGTGGAGAGGAACGGGCCTTGGCACTGGGTTAATAATCCCTGCTTCCTGTCTGGGAGCTGGTTCTGCTCACAGAGGCTGCCCTCCTGTGCATCTTTTACCATGTCACTCATCTCCCAGTGCTTTAGTGTGTGCACCTGAAAAATGGGATAATAGAGCCAGAATTACTTTTGAGAGAATCTAGTTCTTAGACATTGTAGGAATCTTTGCTTCTGCATTCACTCACACCAATGTTCCACCATATGTTTGCATACTTCCAATGACAGGGAGTTCATCACCTTTCCTGGGAAGTCTTCCAAGATACAGGAAATTTTAGTGGCTGATCCTGTGTGCAGTTCCAGGAGGTGAAGGGGCATCCCAGAGGAGGGAGAGTCAGGCTACAGAAGAGGAAACTGGAGACCAGAAGGGCTGTGTGTCTTGCCCAAGGTTACCCACCAAGCTGGTCCCAGATCCAGGGCCTGAGAGAGGCCATGAGGAAGGTCAGGAGGGGAGGGCTCAGTAGCCGCTGGTCCAGCCTCCGCCGTGGTCCCTGCAGGAGCTGGAGCTGGTGGAGAGCCTGCTGCGGAGCAGACCAGAGGAGCCTGAGGGATGCTGGGAGGCACGCAGTGTGGGCGCCGGGGGCCCACGGGGCAGCTCGGGCCGCCAGGAACGCAGCCGGCTGCCGTGGGAGGACACAGCCACCATCGAAGAGGATGCGTCCAAGTTGACTGCCCTGCGGCTGCGGCTGGATGAGTCCCAGAAGGTGCTGCTCAAGGAGCGAGAGTGAGTCCCAGGGGCGGGCAGGGACCAGGGCGCGGGCCAGGCCAGGGCACCCTCAGAATCCCAGAATGAAAATCAGCGCCATAGAATGAGAGACTGACTAGCTGGAGGCCATGGTGCCATCTGGGCTTGAGTCAGGATGCTGGAGCAGCGGTGCGCTACCTGAGGACCCAATGCGAGTTCTTTTTATTAATCCAAATGATGCGTATTGGGGATCTGCTCTGGGTCAGGCACATGCCCGGCAGTGAGGCACAGCCGTAAATAAGACCAAACCTCCCGGCCTTCGTGGAGCTTCTGTTCTAGTCGGGGTGGGGGGGGTGGCGTGGCGGCAGAGGTTAGAGCAGGGAAGGAGGGCTGGGGAGGTCGAGGGGTTGCAGGTGGGAATTTGGTTTGGGACGTGTTGACTTTGAGGGGACAGGAGGCAGCTGGGTACGTGAAAGAGTCTGGAGTTCATGAGACAGGTCTGGGCTGGAGGTAAAAATGCCAGCGTCATCAGCCAATAGATGATCTTGACAGCCGTGAGCCGGGGTGAGTGGGTGCGAGGAGGTCAGAGGATGCAGCCTGGAGCTGACTGAGTTTAGAGATGGAGGAAAGGGAGGCAGCAGAGGAGACAGGAGCCGCTGGGGGCGGGGAAACCAGAAGAACCCGGTTCCCGGAGGAGGGAGTGTCAGCTGGTCCGTAAGAAGAGGACTGAGCACTCTCCAGTGGATTTAGAACGTGGACGTCACCAGTGACCTTGATCAGGGCGCAAGCCTGATTCTAACGAATATAATGAATGAATATATATGTCGAGAAGTTAAGTATGTAGATTAGTATAGCCTATCTACACACATAATTTCTCTTTAAAATCAACGTCATGCCTTTGTGAAGATGAAGGCGGACATGAGGATGAGGCTTCTACAAGCTGGGGAACACCGGAGACGGCCAGCAGACCTCCAGAAGCCAGGGGAGAGCGTGGCACAGCTTCCCTCTCCCGGCCTCAGGAGAAACCAGCCCTGCCGACACCTTGATCTTGGACTTCTAGCCTCTAGAACTACGAGACAGTATGTTTCTGCTTAAGCAACACAAACGAGCAATAATCCACTTATTGTACTAACTGAAATATAAAGTAGAAATAAAAGAAAGGAATTCATGATAAAATATAGGCATTGTGACAAGGAAATGCTCAGGCTCGGCTCGACTGGAAGAAATTGTGAAGTAGTCGGAATCCGGGGCCTTTATATGGGATGACAGTGATGGTGGCCGTGGGAGCAGATGCTGTGAGGCACGCACTCCGAGACAGGCACGGTGCGGAAGCTTTGCCTGTATTCGCTAGTTTAAGTCACCTCCCAGGACAGTGACAAAAGCAGCAGGTGCAGGGGAGCAGGGCTGGCAGCTGAAATGCACGAGTGGTGTCGCTGTGGTGACAAGCTTTCCTGGGAGACGAACAGCCTTCGGTAAAGTCTGAGCAAAGCCGCGTGCAGTCTTCCCTCAGTGGATGCAGTGGTTCCGTTCCTGGAAAAGTCTGTGTTCGTACAGAAGATAGTTGCTGTGTGTTTCAGTCAGAGGAGGTTCTAGGCGCAGATCCGTCTCACCCCCAGGGATGTCCAGCGGGACACACACGCCTTAGACCGGATGCAGGGTGATTCCTGGGTGGGCAGGATGGCCTAGGCATTGCAGGTCCCTGCCCACTAAATGACCCCGTCATCGTGATAGCCAAAAGTGCCCCATCAGGTTTCTCACGTGCCTGCTGGCGGATGGCATTGCCTCCTCGGAGAACCCCGTGTGGGAGGCATGAAATGTTAGTCTCTGAGGAGGGGAGAGCAGCCTGCTGGGGTGTGATGCTAAGCGCAGCTGGTGGCTGAGCACCTGCTGTGCACTGGGCCAGACACTGAGCTCGTTCGTGTTCAAAGCAGAGTGCCAAGTGGTGATTATGGGAGATCCACCCAGTGATGATGACAAGAGGGGAACTTTGTCCCTCTTGTCACTGGACAGTGTTTTCCAGCTTTTCTAACTACGGAACCTGTGTTCAAACCGAGCCTTACAGGGAGCCACAGTACATAAGACAGGAACGGGGTCGTGTTTGGCAGGTGAGTGTGGGGCCCAGAGAGAGGGAGGCCCTTACCCGGGGATGGCCAGTGCCTGGAGGCCTGGTCAGTCATTCCCTGCACAATAAGCTGGGCACCTGCAGTTGTGCAGTGGGTACAGTGCCAGGAGAAATGCAAAACCAGGGTGCCTGCCACAGTGTAGGGTACCAGGGTGTTGAATGCTGAGGCCAGGACTTCGGACGTGGGCTCCGCAGGAGCAGACTGCACAGGAGCACTAAGTGGAGGGCCCCAGTGGGCTCACCCCGTCTGCCTCTCCCCTTCTGATCCCCAGGGATAAACTAGCACTGAGCAGGAACATTGAGAAGCTGGAGGGTGAGCTCAGCCAGTGGAAGATTAAGTACGAGGAGCTCAGCAAGACCAAGCAGGAGATGCTCAAGCAGGTGAGTCTTGGAGACCGAGGGGCTTCCTGGAGGAAGCAGCATTGTGCTGTTGCATTTCGGCAGTGGGAATGGGGAAAAGAAGGGAATTCACTCATTCATTCATTGTCCAGCACTGGCTACGTGCTGTGCAGTGGTCTGAGTGCGCTGGCAGATGATGTCCCTGCCTTCAGGAGCTCAGCTTCTCGGCACCGTGGGTGGGGGAGACCCTCAGTAACCAGGCAGATAGATTCATAAGCTACAGAGTTAAAACAGAATAAGAGAGACGGGGCAGTGGGTCAGGGAAGGCCTGAGAAGGTGACATCTGAGGTAAGACCCAAAGGGATTCGAAGGAGCCATCCTTGAGAGGGTCTGGGGGCAGAGTTTCCGGCAGGAGGCACAGCAAATGCAAGGGTCCTGAGGCCAGAACAAGCCCAGTGCTGCAGGAAACAGGTCGGTGTGGCGGGAGTAGGTCACAGGGAGAGCTCAATCTCACGGGGCCTCATAGACCAAGACACAGAGGGGCAGCGGGGGGTCTGGATGCAGCGTTCATTGGCGCTGGGGTGTGGGAGATCGCGCTCGTTCACGTCCTGCCGTCCAGTCTTACAAATGAGGACACTGAGGCTCCGGGGCAGGCAGGGGGCGGGCTCGGGCACCAGGGCCGCCTCGTGTGAAAGCCCCCGTGGCCACTAGGGGGCGCGGCCACCCTGGGGAAGCCGTCGGATCTGCGTTCCCAGAAACTGCCGCGGCCGGGCGAAGACGGGACTTAAGGAGAAGCTGCTGGAGAATCTCCTAGAATACAGCTTCCCGGAGCCCGCCCTCACCCCCTGCACCAGCATCTGCGGGAGTGGGGTCCCGGAGTCTGTCTTTTAATCTTTGCAGTGGTGAAGGGGGATCCTTTGCAGAGGAGAGGGTAGAACGCGAGTGCGCGGTCTCGCGGGTAGGAAGAGCCCCGTGCGCTGGCTCCTCTCCCTCTGCGTCTCCTTTAAGGCTCGGCCGGCCCTTGCGCGCCAAGCGAGCGCAGCGCGGGTTTGCCCTGCTGCACACGGGGCGTCTGCGCTGTCCCAACCCGGCTGCCCCACTCCCACGCGCAGGCGCGTTTATCCACTGGACTCGTCCAGACGGCTCACTGAGGGCTCCCCTGGGCCAAGGCCCTGCAGGGACACGAGGGCGGCCGGACAGACAAGCTCCTGTCCTCCCGAGCTCACGTGCTGTGGGGAGTGGGATGGAGAGTAGAGGAGGCCCCCACCTCCAGGCCGGGAGGGCGGGAGAGGCCTCCCTGAGGGGGAGGGGGCCTTTAGGCCAAGGCCTGAGAATGAGGAAAGTCAATCCGGCAAAATATCTCGGAAAGAGTGTACCTAGCAGAGGGAACTGCATGTGTAAAGGCCCTGTGGTGGGCAGGAATTTGGTGTATTTGAGGGCTAGAATGGAGGCTGCTGTGCCTGGAGCACAGTGAACTGAGGGACGGGGCGGGAGTTGAGGCTGAGGAGAGATGGGCAGGGGTCCCATCATTCAGGGCTTTGTGAGACCACAGGGAGGGACCAACCAGTCTTTATCCTCAGGAGTGCACAGATGTGGATATGAGGAAATTTGTTTTTTCTAAAAGCTCACTCTGGGCTGCTATTATGGAAAATGGGTTGACAGTGGGGCCCAGAGTGGATGTCGGGAGGCTAGGTGGTAATGAGGTAGGAGGAGAGAGATGCTGGATGCGGCTGAAGTGGTCAGAGCCAGGGCCTGTCCTGGACACCCAGTGGCCCATTTGGGCCCCCCTCAGGCTCCTTGCTGAGCACTCCTGCACCGGCGCCCACTCCCCAGAACTGGTTCCAGGGTACATCCGGTGGTCCTTGAATAACCAGGCTGGGCTATATCCTGCAGCTCAGCATCCTGAAGGAGGCCCACCAGGATGAGCTGGGCCGCATGTCGGAAGACCTGGAGGACGAGCTGGGTGCGCGGTCCAGCATGGACAGGAAGATGGCTGAGCTGAGGGGTGAGGTGAGGCCGCCGGCAGGACCTGGGAGGGCCTGGGGCTTGCGGGTGCAAGGGCCCTGCCTCTGTCTGTTGGTCTCTCCAAAGAGGGCAGGAGCTGGGCCTGTGCTCTGAGGGGTCCCAGCCACACCCTGAGGGTACCCAAATCTGCAGGAGGCGGGCCTCTCCCTCACGGAGACCAGAAGCGTCCTCACATCCTGCCCACCGTGAAATCAGCCCAGCCTAATTATAGCCACTGCAGCTGGACCTGCTTCCTGAGCCAAAAATGGCTGCAGGAGAAGGGGGGCATCCAGCTCAGGCCCTTCCGTGCCCGCTCCCCTGGGAGCCCTCACCCTGTGCTGCCATGTTGCAGATGGAGCGGCTGCAGGCAGAGAACGCGGCCGAGTGGGGCCGCCGCGAGCGGCTGGAGACCGAGAAGCTGGGCCTGGAGCGGGAGAACAAGAAGCTGCGGGCACAGGTCGGGGACCTGGAGGAGGCGCTGGCCCGGCGGCGGCGGCAGACCGCCAGCGCGCTGGACTGCGACCTGCGGGCCAGCCAGGCCGCGCTCTTCGAGAAGAACAAGGTGGGGCAGTGGGTGGCACGGCCAGTGCTGGGGCAGCCCCACCTCCGTCCAGCCAGGGCAGAGCACCTACTGCGCGTCCAGTCCAGCCGGCAAGGGGCTGCAGACCCCTGAAGTAACAGCTGAGGACAGACGTGGCGATCGCCCTAGAAGCTGCTCCTCCTGGGCACCCACTGTTGGCCGAGCCTGGAGATTATTACAGTAGCTGCATTTGTCAAGCACCCACTGTGGGCCGGGCCTGGTGGTTATTACAGTAGCTGCATTTATCGAGCACCCACTGTGGGCCGGGCCCTGTGTCAGTGGTTTTTGTCTGTTATATCACTTAATCCTCTCAGCAGCCCTTTGACTTTCCCACAAATGTTTATGAGCGCCAACTGTGTGTAGGCCTTGTTCTAGGTGCTGGGGACACAGCAGTGAGCAGACAGCACGGACGCAGCCTCCCCTCATGGAGCTGATGGCTCCGGGGCTGCAGACATTGCTCTCACCATCACAAGCACACTGATCACGCAGCTCCACGGCTGCCGGCAGGATAGAGGGAACACCAGGGGCCTGGTTTAGGCCCCGGGTCCTGGGAAGGCTTCCCTGAAGCAGTGACCTTTGAGCCGAGGTCTCAAGGAAAAGCAGACGTTAACTGGTGATGAACTGAGTGGGAGAGGAAATTTGGAAATAATGTGAATAAATGTCCCATGGTGACGGGGACGTGGAGATTTGAGGAACAAGGAGGCCAGTGTGGCTGGAGGGCAGTGGGCAAGGGGGACGTGGTAGGAGGTGAGGCAGGAGCTGTGGGCCACCCGTGAGAGGAAGAGGTGGGCGTGGGCAGGCTGCCATTCAGGGTGCTTGCTGGCTGCTGTATGGGAGGCAGCTGGGCAGGCAGGCCGGGTGGGAGGCTGTCACTGTTTCCTGGGGCAGCAAGAGATGCTGGAGGCCTGGACCAGGCTGAGGTTGGTGGAGATGGAATGAAGAGGGTGAATTCGAGAGACCTTTAGGCTGTGTTTGGCCCGTTTTACAGATGTGAAAACTGAGGCCTGGAAAAATCAGAGCTCAGGGATGGGCACCTCCATTCCTGGCTGCTGCTCCTCCTCCCGGTCACTGTGGCTTCTGATCTCTTTTCCTCTGACGTCCGCTCCCCAGTTTAACTCATCCGCAGACCCAGGGCTTTAAATGCCATTTATAGGCCAACCTCTAGACCTCATCCCTCCCCAGAAAACCTGACTCGGCTCCAGCAGCCTGCTGGACATCTCCATGGCATTTCCAGTAGGGACCTCAAAGTTTCATGTCCAAAATGGAGCCACTGATTCCACCCACCGGGGCCTCTCCTTTCATTGCCCCCCAAGCCTCTCATCTCACTAGATGCCACCTCTGTCCTCCAGCTGCTCAGCCAAACCTCTAGTGCTGGCAGTTCAGACAGCTGGTGGAGAGATTCTGGGAGAAGAGACACACGCACCCCAGTGACCCTGTGGGACTCGCTGGCGTGGTGCCCTCTGACACTGAACCGTCCCCCGTCTCTGCTCCCCTGCAGGAGCTGGCAGACCTGAAGCACGTGCATGGCAAGCTGAAGAAGCAGTTCCAGGAGAAGGTGGCAGAGTTGGCACACGCCAACCGGCGGGTGGAGCAGCACGAGGCAGAGGTAAAGAAGCTGCGGCTGCGGGTGGAGGAGCTCAAGAAGGAGTTGGCCCAGGCTGAGGACGAGGTGAGCACCACTGGGGCCCGGAGGCGGCCCTCAGGCCTCCACTGCGGTAGGATGGGGCGCCGGGCCCTCCTGTGTCGCTCCGTGCTGGGTCCCCAGTGCCTGGCAGGAGCCTGACTCTCAGAAGGTGTCCCGGGTAGAGCGGGTGGGTGGGTGGGTGGGTGACGGATGGACAGTAGGTAAGTGTGGGGGTAGGAGGGTGGGAAGAAAGATGGACAGACAAGGTGGACGAGTGGTTGTGTAGATTAATGGATGGATGAGTGGGTGGATGCACAGGTGGTTAAACGGAAGGAGAGAAGGATAGCTCTGTGGGCTGATGAACAGGTAGATGATGGAATAGGTGGACAGATCAATGGGAGAGGGAGGGGAGGGAGGGAGAGAGAAAGAAGGATGGATGGATGAGATGTAACAGATGTCTGGTGAGTGGATGGATGGATGGATGGATGAAATGTAACAGCAGATATCTGATGAGTAATTGGTTGAGTGGATGAGTGGATAGGTAGACGGATGGGTGGTTGGTAGATGGATAATGAATGAGTATATGGATGTATGGAAAAATAGGTGACTGTGCAGGCAATGGATAGACAACGGACTGGATCAGTGGGTGGAAGAATGAATGGATGGAGAGAAAGGACAGAAGGATGGATAGATGGGAAGACAGGTGTGTTTTGCGGAGTGGAAGGGCACATAGATAGACAGGGTGAATGGGCAGCTGAATAGGTTAATGAATGCTGAGTGGGCAGGTGGGTATCTCCAGAGGCAGATGGATGGTTCCAAGGATGAATGGTCAGATGGGCAGCTTGATGGGCATAGATGGGTAGGTGGGCTGACGGACGGATCAGGAGCTTGGGGCATTGGAGGATGCGTGTATTTGGAAAGCAGAGACAATAGAAGTGGAGAGGGACAAAAAGGCTGCTTACCTGGAGGAGGCGGGCTTCGGTCTAGTCCTCAAGGGAGAGACAGGGATTGCTCTCGGGGAAGGACATTCCCACAGAGGAATGCAGGAGGTCCTAGGCAGATGGCAGGCCAGGCTGGCCCAGCCCAAGGTCACCCCCATGCTCTTGGCCCTGCTCACCCCCAGCTGGACGAGGCCCACAACCAGGCACGTAAGCTGCAGCGGTCGCTGGACGAGCAGACGGAGCAGAGCGAGAACCTGCAGGTGCAGCTGGAGCATCTGCAGTCCAGGTGGGCCTCGCGTGCAGCCCCGGCTGCGGACTGGGTTCCAGCGGGGCGAGGATTCCCTGCCAGGGCACAGAAGCAGGGCAGAGAGCCTTCCTGCCCGGGGAAACCTCCCAGCCGGGGTTGGAGCCCCGAACTCAGGCTAGAGGCGGGGACAGAGAAGGAAGCGGTCAGGCCTCCCTGGGGCCAGAATCCTGTCCTCTCCAGGCAGGAAGGGCCAGGGCCAGGAAACCAGGGAAGGGGAGCGCAGGAAGTGAGACCCGCTGGGAGCCCTGGAATTGTCTCCCGGGCAAGTGGGCGGGTGGCAAGAGGGAAGGAAGGTCAGGCTCAAGGTGGGGCAGTGGGTAGGGTTAGTGGGTCTGGAAGTCATAAACAAGAAGAACAAGCAGCCCCCAGGGTCCCGGGCTGGGGTGGTCCCAGGCCAGCTGGAATCCGAGGGACTGGGGGCAGTGAGCCATGACAGCAGCCCGGACCCCCTCAGCTGCAGACACGACCCTGTCAGCCACAGGGAGGGAGGCCGGGGGTCAGGGTCTCTGGGGAGCCCACCCAGCACATCTGCAACCCTGCCCTGCCGCCCCCCCCCCCCCCCCCCCCCCCCCCCCCCCCCCCCCCCCCCCCCCCCCCCCCCCCCCCCCCCGCAACGCCCCGTGAAGCACACCCTCTCCCTCACTCCCCTTAGAGCTGTGAGATATCAGAGAACAAGTCCAAGCCCCTCCCTGTCACAAGCACCCCACCCCAGGGGGTCATGAGCCAGCACTGACCTTGACCCACTCATCCTGGTCCTGTGTCAGGCCCTGGGCAGGGTCCTCCTTGCGCCCTCTTATTCACGGGAGAGAGGGAGCCGGGCTCTGCAGCCAGGCGGCCAGGTGGCGGGAATCCCGGCTCCGTGCTGAGTGGCTGTGTGGCCTTGGGCCGCCTCCCCTCTCGGGGTCAGTTTCCCCATCTGTACAGTGTGGATGGTAACGGTTTTACCTCTTGGTTATTGTGAGAGTTAAATGAGCTGGTCTGTGCTCATGAAAGTTGCTGGCTCGTCATGAATGCTACATGACCATCAGCTGCTCCTGCTGTTACTGCCACCCCTGGGCTGGGGGCTGGTATTTGGGTCAGCTCTTGTGCTGCAAGAATCATGCTCCTGTGAGCCATGGGAAAGGAAAGACGTTTTTCCTAGGGGGCTGGCAGATGAGGAGAGTGGGGTACAAGAAGGGACAAAGCTGGTGGGTGCTCAGACTGGATCACCCCCAGCCATCTGCACCCTGCTGACTGGGCATGGAGTCTGTGCTGAGTTTCCAAGCCTGAGAGTCCAGGCTGTGCAGCCAGACCTAGCACCTGGGTGACCTGGTCAGCCAAGCGTCAGTTTCCCCATCCGCCTGGGGTGTTGCCTGTGAAGCGTTATGCAGGGGCCCCGGGCACGAGTCAGACTCCGTGTCTGGCCAGCTCTGCCCCCTCCGCACAGCCCTTGGAGGCTGGCCGGCCTCAGGGCTCTCCCGCAGTCTTGGCCACATTCTTCGGGAGCCGTCAACTCCCACAGAGGCCGCTGCTCTGCCCAGCCTCTCAAGTGCTGCCTCTTTTTATTTCCCAACTTTTTGTGCTGTAATGTTCCGGGGACAGCTCACTAAATCACAGAGCAGTAATGGAGCCCCCGCCGGGCCCCTCCCTGCCGCGTTAATAATTCATGCCTTCCAGTAAGATGCGGCCGGCCGCCTGCCTGGGGGATGGGCATTTCCGCCCCCAGCTCTTCTTGCAGTGAAGTTCGCCTCGTAAATTTGGCTTTAGGAATTTTAACTGGCGGTGGGGGGGGTGGGGAGGGTGGAGCGGGCAGAGCTGGGGATCTAGGAGACTCAGAAACCCCCGCCCTCAAACTCCCTCCTCCGGTCTTTGGAGCCTGGCTCGGGTGCGAGTCCCAGCGACCTGACCTTGAGCCGCTGCCTGGCACCCAGCCGCACCCCCCTCTCTCTGTGGGACTTTGGGCAAATTACTCAACTGCTTTGTTCCTCGGTTTCCTTGTCTGTAAAATGGGGGTGTCAGTAGCACCCCGTTCGTTTCAGGGGCTTCTGGGAGGAGGATGTGAGATGAGGTAATGCCCGTCAGAGGCCCGGCCTGGTGCCCGGCAGCGGGGAAGTGTCGGGGAAGGCCAGGCTGCCATCAGCGCCTCCTGCCCCCCGCAGGCTCCGCAGGCAGCAGCAGCACGCACCCCTCTTCGGGCAGATCCGCAGCGCCCGCTTTGGCGCCGAGGAGGCTGGGGATGGAGCCAGCGACCTGGACGAGGACGAGGACCTGCAGATCCAGGTGGCCTAGCTTGTGGGGCTGCCCAGCTGACCGGCCGGCCGCTCGAACTGACGCGTCTGCCTGTGCTGGCTCTGGGAGCAGACCCCGCTCCCTGCCACGGACGGCGGCCTTCTCTCCCGCCGCGTGCACCCGTGGTCCCACCCTACCAGCGCCCTGTGGGAGGGAAGCCACGGCCTGTGTTTTATATGTATATTCTATATATATGCCCGCGGTCCTTGGACCCGTTTGATTTCATAAACACGGGATCCCTCCAAGGCCCAGATAGGCCTGCCACCCACCGGAGTCCTCCGTGCAGGGGGAAGGGGGGTGTCAAGGGAGGGTGGTGGGGTGCCACCCCAGGCTGCCTCTCTGGGTGTTGGGGGCTGGGCGGAATCTGTTCATAGTACGATGTGATAAACCCAGTCTTTTGTAATAAATGGAGTTCAGGTTCTTGGGGCGGAGTCCTGAGGCACAGTGTGGCAGATGTGGGCAGGGGGTGTGGGGGACAGACCACATCAGCCTGCACGTGGCACTGAACCTGAGCTCAGGAATGTCAAGTGGCTTAATAAATGAACGAGTGTGAGAAAGAATGAATGAATGAACATCTGAGATGCTGAATGGTCTGGAATCCGGCTCCTGTGAGGGGAGAAGATATGGTCCATGTCTAATCTAGAAAAGAGAAGACTTCAATTCTGGCACCATATGGGTTCAAATCTTTGCCCCTTACTGGCTGTGCAACCTTGAGGAACTTACTTGCCCTCTCTGAGCTTCAGTTTCTCCATCTATAAATTAGGTGTCTCAGGGAGCCATCATGAGAACTAGTGGAGTTCACCTGGAGCTCAGTAAAGCTTAGTTATTGTTGAAATACTTGAAGGCTCGCCCTGGAGACGAGGGATTTGCCAGCTGGGTTCTTCCACAAGGGATGAGGTTCAGGTGACTGGGAGTTTCCCCAGAGGTAGGTGTGAACACAATAAATAATCAATCCTTTTATCTTTCTTCTAGCCCTGCTCTAGGTAGTGAAATTACAGGTAATTTTCATTTTATTTTTGATACTTTAATGTCTAAACCACCTACAGCCGGCAGATTTCTGTTCAATCTGATGGAAATGGTCATTAAAAACAAGATTTCATACGTTTTTGAATCTTTGCAAGTCAGGGTGGCGCTTGAGCTACCCGCCCTGGAGGAGATACTCTGAGGGTTCTCCCCATCATCAAGCCTGGACCAACGGTGCTGGTGCAGTGGCTTTCCTCTCGTGGCAGTGGGGACGGGGCCCCTCCTGGGCTCTGAGTGTGAAGGAGGGCGTGGGTGAGACCCAGCCGTGGGGACCCCCCTGCTTTCTTTCCCTGTAAGCCGGCCAGCGGGAAAGGGGCTGCGGAAGGAAGAGCACTGTCTCCTGCCAGGATCTCGTTTTCTCTCCCAAACAGGAAGTTGGCCCCTGAAGAGGCTGAAAGTGCTGCCCTTTGACCCCGGGAGCCAGGAGCCAGGCTCTGCTGACAGCAGCCAGGAGAGCTGCTCACCAGGCCCGGCCCCGACCTGCCATTCCCAGACACAGAGCAGACCCCGTCCTCGAGGCAGGCGCCTCCAGACTCCCTGGCACCTCTGGCGAGATAGCGTGGAGCAGGGGCCCGGGCCAGCCCCTGTCTGTGGGCGGGCAGGGCGCTCCGAGAGAGTCAGTGAGAGGGCCGGCCCCCTGCTCCGTCTACCAGGGAAATTCGAGGTCTCAGGAGCGGGGCAGAGCCACAGACACAGGGCTGGAAGGTCCTCGGGGCCTGGAATTTGCGCTCCCTCCCTGCTCACAGCCCTTCCATGGCTCCCCTCTACCTGCAGCAAAAGTCACCGGTGGTGGGTGGTGCCGGCGGCAGCATCACCCCACAGAAGTGTCAGCTTTGGCTCGCATGATGCTTCAAAGATTATGTTAACACATAGTTAATGTTAGCAATGGGAAGTTTTCTCATGAAGATGTGGGTTTCCTTCTCTTGAGAAATCAGTACCTGGATCCACGCTGGACTGGGAGGCCAGTGCTCCCTGGCAGGGGTCTCAGCCACCCCAGTGGGCCCCACTCTCTGCAGCTTTACCCTGCACCCAGCTCGTTTCTCTGACCACATGGCCCCTGAGGCATGTGAGTGTGTGTCCTCTGGCCCAGTCCAGTCTTCCGAACAGGTGGGGAACCTGAGTGACTGAGACGGGAGGCGCTGGCCCGCAGTCTCTCTCCATCATTGGCCAAGTACACATGTCACTTGCAGGCTCCTCGTCACCGCAGGGTGACTGCCAAGAACTGCTAACGTGTATTGAGCCCCACTGTGTGCTTGGCAACCCTGGGAGGCGGCACTGCCATCCTCATCTCCCTTTATGCCGCAGATGCAGAGCTCAGAGGGAGCAAGGAGCTAACCTGAAGCCACACAGCTGGTTAGGGGCAATGCCGCATTCCAGGTCAGCCAGTGTGAGGCCAGAGGCCACCCTCCTGATTAAGACGTCCCTCTGGCCCCTGCCCTCCTCTGCAGACCCCCACCCCCACCCCCACCCCCCAGACCCTGCAGCTCCAGCCGTGGTGAACTCCTTTTTCTGCCACCCAGACCTGCACCTCCCCCAGCCCCCAGCCCTCCAAACCTCAGCCTGTGGGGTTCTTAGAGTGTAAGGGGGTTGTGTGCTTTGCTTCTCCCGCCCCACCAGGTGCTCCTGGAGGGCAGAGTGCCCTGGGCCTAGCCTAGCGGGCATCTTTAAAGAAAAGAAGGCTGGCTGGATGGAAGGAGGGATGGGATAGTAGACGGCTGAAGCCAGAACCGCCCCTCCCCCAGTCCCGCCCCACCTCAATACCTGCAGGACTGGTCCTAGACGGTCTTTGTGCTGGTCAGCTCAGCAGTCGCCCAATGCAGCTGGCCAGGGCCTCCTTACAGGCCTGGGGTGCCCAGACAGGCTGGAGAACAGGCTGGGCCGCAGCTGCCCCACCCAGCCCCTCCCCTGCAGCATGAGACTGGGGGCCCTGGAGCCTGTTGGTGTCCTCGCTTTCCAGCCGAGGTCATTTCTGCCCAGCCTAACTCTTGCCAGGCAGCCCCTGGGCTTCTCTGTCTTGAAATCGATGCCCAGGAGTGAGCCCCCTGTCCCCCAGCCCTCCAGACAAGCTTGGCTTCTAGACCCAGCTGCTTCCTGATTGGACTTCTGGGAAGTTCCTGCCCCTCTCTGGGCTTTTGTTTCCCCATCCAGAAAATGAGGACAGTAGCAAATGGGTTGTCTAAACCCACATCCAATAGTATGACTTTACTCTTAGTACTAATTTTCTGGCTTTCCCTTTGCTCTGCATCGCAGCCAAGACCCTAGTGCCCTGTCTGCCTGGGGACCCACCAGCTGCCCTGGGCACCCGTCTAGGGCAGTGGGCGGGGGGTTGGATGCAGAGGCAGCACCCAGGGACCAGCTGCGGCTCTCACCCCCACCCCCATCCAGCTCCTCTGCCTGCTAATTGTGGGGTTGCAGGATGCCAGCTGCCTCCCAGGCCCCGGGTGGGCTCCTCCCAATGGAGCAGGAGCTCCCTCCACAGCATCCCACTCCTCCTGCAGCCCCACAGATACAGCTGTGCTGGGGGTGGTCCCCACGGTGCTGGGACCCCCACCCCTCCGGGAGGCAGCCTGAAAAGGTGTCAGCATGAAGACTTCCTCCATGGCTTTCCAATCTCCCAGGCTTCCCCCCATCAGAGAGGAGCACGGGCTCTCCACCACTCAGGAACAGCCATGGCTCCCCATTGCTGGACAAGTCAAGTCTCACCCCACATCGTGGCCCGTGGGTGCTCCAGACTCACCCTTAAGCACGTTCCTCAAGTGGCCTTGCTCTCAGGTCCCTGTTGCTCCAGGATAAAGTCCAGACGGGCCGCTTGCTACGGCCTCTGCCTCCCCCACGGGCTTCCCCAGCATCCTCTCTCTACTTGCCCTCAGCCAGAGCACCAGTGGCCTGGGCAACAGCTCCACAGTGACCGGGGCATGCCTCATCTCTCACATCTGGACTTGAGCTCAGAGGGCAGGGGTCCTGCCTGTGGGAATCTGGATCTCCCGGGAAAGGACAGAGAGCATCATTCAGAGCTCATGCTCACCCCTACCCCCACACCTGCCCCATGGTGTCATTTAACTTTCATCTTCACAACAACCCGGGACGTGGACAACGGCAAGATGAGGACACCCAGGCCCAGAGAGGGAAGGGACCTTCCAGGAGATGATGGGGGACCGGGATTCAATCTAGGCAACTTCAAAGGCCAGGTGTTCTCAGCCACGGCCCTCGGCCCAGGTCTGAGCCTGGTTTCAGGGCAGGGAACTGGTTAGTGTCTGTGGACAGGAGGGAGGTGGGAGGGAAGAGAGAGCCAGTGATGGGGCAAATGACCGTCCTCAAGCCCGCTTCTCACCCAGCGCCCCACTCTGTGCTCTAACTTATGCAGGTCGGAGTCAGGAACCTCATTGCCTAGGTGAGTAAACTGAGGTCCAAAGTGGCTTATCCGAGGGCACCCAGCAATGGTGGGGTCATTATCCTTCACTCCTCTGGCCTCCTCCATTCTCACTCCATAGAGCAGCCAAACGATGTGGATTCACCTACACGCCTAACTAAGCTCCAGCTCCCTGAGCCTCAGTTTCCACATATGAAACGGGTGCTGTGGGGATCAGAAAGGACATTTGTCAAGCCCTCAGCGTGGGGTTCAGCACCCAGCACTACTGTTGTTTTTCCACCTTTGTCCAAGGACACCCGTCACATCTGCGCGGGAGACCAGTTGCCCAGGCAGGAAAAGCGCACTTGTCCACGCTGGGGTGGGAACCTTCATCCAGGATCCGCCTCTGCCTGCGTGGACCATCCCACCCAGCCACACTCCGCCCTCCCTGCCCCCACCCCATCTCAGAAACCTCCACCTGCTCACTCACCCAGTTGCCCAAGTATCTTCATTCCAGGATGGAATGGCATTTGGGGGGAGCGCTGGGAGAGCAGAGGCACCTTCGTCTGTTCCTGGACCACCACCTGCTCCCCAACTGCCCCACCCCATTGGCTGATAAATTGGAGTTAGATGCGTAACAGAGTCCTTTGGGAATTTGGCTGGTGGGCATCCCTGATCAGATACAGTTTATCTGATGGCCCGATCCCCGAGGGGTAAACTGAGGAAGCTGCCAAGCTGAGAGGAATAGAGTCACAGAGAAAACAGGTGCCACGCCAGGCAGCCTGCCTCTCTCCTTTCTTTCGATGCTCGTGACAGCCCAGTGAGGTGAACCCAGTTGTTATCCCGCTTTACAGGTGAGGAAACCAAAGTGAAGCCCCTCCGCAGCTTCTTGAGGGCTCACAGCAACTAACCGGCACGATCTGAAAGGGGCCACCGCTCCCCCGGGTGGATGCTGGTCACCAGGGCACCAGCGGCTCCTCGTGGACTTTGAATGTAACTCACGCCCCTTCCCGGCCTCCGGGGCCCCTGGAGATCCGCTGGCGTCTTTTCACAGCTTCGTCCCCACCGTCTCCCCTCGCTCACTGTCTTCCAGCCCGCTGGCCTCCTTCCTGCTCCAACACCCCAAGCCCGTTCCTGCCTCGGGACCTCCAGGCCCGCTGTTGCTTCTGCCCAAAAAGTCTTTCCCTCCTTCCCCTCCTTCCCTGGCTCCTCTAGCCACACAGATGTCCCCTCTCCTGTGTCCATTAATATTGGTCCCAGTCCCTTGATATTGATTTTTCCGAATGGCTTCTTTTTTTAAAATTACCTATTTATTCGCCCGGCTGGTGCTGACTTGCCGCTCCCTCGCTAGCCCGTGAGCTCCCTGAGGGCTAGCATTTGGTCCTAAGTTGTCACCTCGGTCCTGCTAGCACCTGTGCCTGCCACACAGCAGGAGCTCACTAAGCGTTTGAAGAATGAATAAAGGAGTGACTGGACAAGCGAACGAATGAACGACCTTCCGTGCTCTGTCTCAGTCCCAGGGGCTCAGGTCGGTCAAAGGCAGCAGAGATGAAGTTATAAACCAGGGCAGGCAAATGGACTGTGCAAAGTTTTTTGAGAGGAAACTCAAAGATGCAGTGCTATTAAAAATTGATATTTCAATGAGATAATCCCTCTCCTAGGCTTTTAATTGATTGTCTAAAAAGCCTTCCTCTGTTGTTATGCTTCTTTATTTGCAGGGACCATTAATTTTTTTATGGACGATCAAACCCGGATAGAGTGGAAGGACCACCGCACACGGCTGATTCCAAAACAGTAACCAAGGCGCCAGGGACGAACGCCTGGGGGTCAACCAGGAGAGGAGACATGGCCGTGGAGCTGGTCTGGGCTCTGGATGCTGGGAGGAGGGGAAGCCCCTGCGTGTCCAGGACACACACGCCCCTGCCCCCCACTCACTGGACAGCCTTCGCAGAAGGAGGAGCAGCAGGAGGTGACAGCTCCCCAAGGGAGCCCGCTGCAGAAGTCAGGACCCCTGGGGTCCTCCCTTGCCCCTGGTGGCCAGTTCCCCTCCACTCCAGGCCTCTTCTCTCCCATCTGTCCCTTGCAGGGTGGGCCTAGAGGTGGACAAAGAAGAGCAGGTGCGTGGGAGTGAGGACCTCTAGGTTCTGCCCCTTCACCTCTCTGGGCCTCTGTTTCCTCGTCCGTCCAGTGGAGGTGACACTGGCTCCGGTCTCTGTGGGGAGCTTTACGGCTGCACAGAGCCTGGTGCACAATTGTCAATCTCAGCATTCTCCTGGCTCTGCAGGCAGCCTCACATCTACACGCCTCTCCCCGCTGGGTGACCTTGGCCACCTCCTTTCTCCTCCCTCTGGGATGGCTCTCCATTCATGAATGGGCATCTGTGCTCTCCTGCAAGGCCTGTAGCCGCGGAGGCGTCCTGTGCACACCTGGCAGACAGGTCTCTGGTCATCTGCTCCTCCTCCACTGCATGCTTCCATTCCATCAGCCTGACAGGCAGCCGCGGCAACGAGCCCCTGAGGGTCCTCGGCTGCAGCCGCGATGGGCCAGGGCTGGACTGCTGGGCCCTGGCCCTTTCGTAATTGCCTCGCCCGTGACGGGACTCTCGCACTTCCTCTCTGCCCCTCCATGCTCCCGACACCTCTTTTCTGGAAGGGAGGACTAGCCAAGCAGGGCTGGCTTCACGGACGTGTGGCCTGTGCAGTGACTCAGGGCCCTGTACTTCAAAGGACCCGTGCTTCGATTAATGGTCTGTTGTCACCATCTTGAAATTATTAATAATTTTAAAGGGAGTCCCACATTTCCATTTTGCACCAGGCCCTGCAAATTATGTAGCTGGTTTTGCAGCCAAGAGACAGCTCTGCTTCAGGAAATGGCCAGTGGGTGGGTCCCCAGGGCAGAGCGCCCTGCCTTTAGCCGTCACCATCCCCCCAAAGGACTGGCCTTATCCCCACATCTTCCCCCGCTACCTTGCCCAGGTACCCCAGCTCGGAAGCCCTTGGCTCCCATCTCCTCCCCACGGGGCCTCCAGGGGACAGGCAAATTAGTGACGAGTGACTTCTCCAGGCATTGACTTCTCTACGTCTCAGATCCTGGGGACGGGCTCAGAGGAAGGCCCGGGGGTCCTCAAATCCCTGTGTTTCCCCCAGACGGGTACCACTCGCATCAAGTGGAAGCACGGAGGCCGCAGAGCAGATGAGGTTCAAATTCATTTAAACGATCTGTGGAATTCGTAACAGCCCTCAGTCAACGTGCTTTCTTTTCAGGCAGCGGATATTAAAGGTACAACTGCTTTGACCTCAAGGGCGGGGATGGAGAGCTTTCCTCCATCTGCGGCATCCGGCACCCTCGAGGGTAGAAATCCCCGCAGGGCACCCGGGAAAATGCTGCAAGACAAGGACAGTTAACTCTGAGAACTGTGTTCTGAGGAAGTCTGTAAGCGCGCCCGCGCAATATCTAAGTGTGGGGGCAAAGAGCCACATGAGTGCTTCGTGGTGGCATTGTTTACAAAAGCAAAAATAGAGACGGCTCAATGGCCTGCGGCTGGGGCTGGTTAAATAAATGACAGTGCATTTCTCCAGGGGGTTCCGGACCATCAGGAAAACCAGCCTCGTTCAAGAAGGGGGTGAGTGAAACATCAGACTGAATATGGCTACAGCGTGGGCTTGGTTTCCTCTCTGTGTGTGTGGAAGAAGCGACGGCATGATGTCAGGCTCGGCTCGTTGTTTCTCTTCTTTCTTCTCCCCAACTCTCCAGGCTCCCGGTGGCCAGTCATCGAGGAGTCAGGGACGCTTGACTTTCTGAGCGTCTCTCAGACCTGTCCCCTGCCACCACCCCTCTCACTATCCAAGCTACACTACCTCTGTCCTGTTAGACTTGCCTTCACTTCCTGTCTTGCTCCCCACAATTCCAGTGAGGCCCTCCGTCTATTCTCTAAGGGCTGCCAGAAGGCTTCTTTCAAAATGCATGTTGGATCCTATCCTCTTCCCTGTTTAAAACGCTTGACTGTCTCCCCATTACTCTTAAGATGCCGATCAAACTCTTGAACTGGACTTCAAGACTCTTCACAGCCAGCCTCACTGAGCACCACACTTCCCCTCTTCCCTCTGCATTCCAGGCACTCTGGCCTTCTCCCACACATGATATACAGAACAGGATCTCTTCTGCCACAGGGCCCTTGCACATGCAGTCCCCCAACTCAGAATACTCTCCATCCCCTCTTTACCTAGTTAACTCACACTTTTGCTTTCACCCTAAGAGTCACTTCCTCAGTAAGCCTTCCCAGATGGGTCAAGTCTCCCCAAATCTCTTCTAGCACCACGTAGCCCTTTTCTCTCCCTCACAGCCATTCTCGCAGTTACACCTGCAACTGTGGAGTTCTTAGATCAGTGCCTGTCGCTTTCACTAGAGCATGAATGCCTCAAGGGCACAAGCTGTTCTTATTGACCACTGTGTCCCGGTGCCCAGTGCCTGGCACAGGGTGGGTGCTCAGATGTTTGTTGAATGAATCAGTGAATCAGTGAGGGAGGGAAGGCTGGCCCAAGCACCTGGCCTGCCTTCCCTGCTGGCTGGCACACTTGTCCAGGGAACAGCTTGTCAGACCTGCTGTTAGCATATCCCATGTGTGCTCAGGAAGGCAGCCCATGGCCTGGAGAGAGCCGTGCACTAGGAGGTGGGGTTGAAATTTCACCTCCTTCCTGAGAGCTGCTCTCTGCAGCCCTCGGAAATCGCCCCTGGCCCGGCCTCCTTCGGAGGAAGCAGAGGGAGCAGGGGCCCCATCTCCTTCCTCTCCACCTGCCTCCTGGTCAGTCCTCTTTGATGGGAAGGCTCTCAGGGAGGCTGGTTTGTGTCACTGTCGCGCTGGGGGAGGAAGACAGTTCAGTGCCATGTCTTAACTGGCGGACTGACCTGGATCTCAGTGCTCCCGTGCACGCGGGGGCCTGGGACTCTGGGAAACGCCAGCTTCACATTTGAAAAGAGCTCAGCAATTCCATGGCTGCGGTGGAGCTGCCCGGGTTCTGCGGATTCTCACGGCCCGGATTTCATCTCCTATGGCTCTGGCTCTGGCTCTGGCTCTGTCCAGCCTGCCCTTTTCCCCAGAGCAGACCGGGCGAGATGGGAGCAGCGAGGACTTGCAGGAGGGCCCCCGAGGGACTGACATGGACTAGGATCCCCGTTCTTCTAGATTATGTCGAGGCCCCAGGGAACGGAGACTCCATGGTCCCCAGTTCAAGTCCTGGGGTGGCTGTGTCATCTTGGGCAGATTCTTCTACTTGCTGGCCTCAGTTTCTCTACCTGTGAAATGGGGATGGTGATGTCTACTCTGGATTGCTACTGTGAGGGTCAATAGACCAGCACGGTGTTTCCCCAAGTGTGGACTCACGGCACGTGGTAGACCCAGGGATGTGGGTGGCACTCCGCAAGCCAGCCCTGACCATCCCAGGGTCGCACTCTGAGGAAGCCACTCCGTTTTCACTTTCCTTCGCATCCTCGACAGTTGTCCGGGAGAAAGTCTCGGACAGGTGGAGCGAGGGTTACCACCTCCACCACTTGCTGAGCTCCTTTTGAACACAAGCCGTACAGGTTCTTAGGCGGACAGTGTTAGCCAGCACGCGATCATGCATTTGTTTTATTTTCAAGGTATTTTTTATATAGCTTGCTCTTGAAGCAAATAGAAAAATGTGGTTGATTTAAAGAAAAATATTGAGCAAATAATAGTGCAGGATGTGCTTGAATTCCACAAAAATCACAGAGTGGCTGGAGTGGCTGGGGCTTGGGAAATACTGTGAGAGTGTGGGTGGAAATACTTTGAAAACTGTCAAGTGATGTACAAACATGGATGGGAGGGGGCAGGGACCAGAAAGATCAACGCCAGAGAAGGCTTTGCATTTCCTGGGAGAAAGGCCCAGCCTGAGGGGCTGGGGCCAGAGAGTATTGTTAATGACTTAAAAGCGGTAACATGGGTCGGGGGGCCGTGGCCGTGGCTGAGTGGTTAAGTTCATGTGCTCCGCTCCGGCAGCCCAGGGTTTTGCCGGTTTGGATCCTGGACACAGACATGGCACCGCTCATCAAGCCATGCTGAGGTGGCGTCCCACATGCCACAACTAGAAAGACCTGCAACTAAAAATACAAAACTATGTACCAGGGGTGCTCTGGGGAGAAAAAGGAAAAAAAGTAAAATCTTTTAAAAAATTAAAAAATTAAGTTACATTAAAAAATCTTTTTAAAAAACCCAGTAACATGGTATCAGCCCTCCCTCTTGTCAGTGTACCTGGCACTGAGTGGATGCTTCCACAGAAATTATGTTATTTAACCTTCATTGTTCCCGTTTCCGGGGGAGGAAATTGAGGCTCCAAAGGGTGAAGGGTGTTGCACGAGCCGGGATCATCCCTCCCTCTGTCCTGAGTGAGGATTTTCAAGTGTCTTCCTTCCTGCCCACTTGCAGCAGGACACCAGGCTCGGCCCCAAGGCCTGGGCTGCCCCTCGCACCCAGGAGGTAGTCAGAACCCAGGGTGTACCCCTCCCAGGGCACTGTCCCACACCTCCCCCCAAAACAGCCCAGTTGGGGGTGGGGATGGGGGTGGGAGTAATCACATCCCTTAACATAAAGTAGCAGATTTTGTGCTTAAACAGAGTTGGGTGTTTTTTAAAATTTTTTTTTAATTAAAAAAAATTCTTTTTTCCTCCTTCTCCCCAAAACCCCCCAGTATATAGTTGTATATTCTAGTTGTAGGTCCTTCTGGCTCTGCTATGTAGGATGCCACCTCAGCATGGCTTGATGAGTGGTACCATGTCCACGCCCAGGATCTGAACCGGCGAAACCCTGGGCCACCAAAGCAGAGCGTGCAAACTTAACCACTTGGCCATGGGGCCAGCCCCCAGAGTTGGGATTTTTTTGGCGAGGAAGATTGTCAGTGAGCGTTATAACATCTGTGCCAGTCTCCCTCTATTTTGTGTGTGGGATGCCGCCACAGCACGTCTTGATGAGTGGTGTGTAGGTCCGTGCCCAGGGTTCTGAACCCACATAACCTGGGCTGCTGAAGCAGAGCACGTGAATTTAACCAGTACTCCACTGGGCCAGCCCTTAAACAGAGTTTTTTCATGGAAAATTTATACTTGGCCATTGCAGGAAATTAGAAAACTAACAGGCAAAAATAAGAAAACAAATGCTGTGGATGATAACTAACCTGTTTTGGGTACACCCCACGTGCAGGGTCCTCTTCTGAGAGCTTGGAATGTATTTCCTCACAACTCATCACCCCCACTTTACAGATGACAAAACCGAGGCCCAGAGAGGCTGGGTAAGTACCCAAGAGGAGGGGCCAGGGCTTGAATGAGGTGGTTTGTTCCAGAGCCGACACCACCGCCCTTCTCTGCCGGGAGCCCTCCTGTCCTGCAGAGAACAGCCTCAGGCAGGCCATGTGGTTCACACACTCCCCCATGACCGAGGGAAATCGAGGCACAGAGCTGAGTTCACACAGCCAACCCCTTGTCCCTTGTTCACTGCCTCAGTTTCCCTAGGCACCACATCCTGACCAGAGGTACCTGGGGCTTCTTTGCTCCCTCCCGGCTGAGGAGGGCCGGGGGAGCCAGAGGAGGAAAGAGAACAAGGCCTGTGAAAGGGAAGGACAAGTGGGTGCCGGCGCCTGTCCCCAGCCCTGGGCACAGCCCGTGTCACCATCACAGCTCCTGGGCTTAGCCATTCACGGCCCGGGAACGCCCGGCTTGGGTCCTCCATCACTCTCCGTGGCCGCTCAAGTTCATTCCCTCCAGAGAAGTCGAGCCACGAGCCCACGCCCAGAGCAAGCGAAAGCCCCAATAATGCTCAGGCAGGAGGCAAAGCTGGTCTCCCAGCCTAGAAAGAGTGCTGGCCGCAGACTGAAATACGAGGAGATACAATCCGTCTGCCAGGCAGGGCCGAGCAGACCCGGGACAGTGGCCTTTTAGCTCGGCAGGCTTGGGCCTGAAGGACCTAAGAAAGCAAACACGGCTGGAGACCAGGATGCTGCCCCTACCCTGCCATGGGCCCCGGGCCCAGGATCAACGCTGGACTGGAGCTGGGGCTGGGGACCCTGGCCGTGAGCTAGAGAGCCGTGCTAGTTGGCACCATCCTCATTTAACCTCCTCTGGTCGGCGCTGGAGGATGGAGGGGCATTCACCCACAAAGTGGGGGACAGCCCTGGTCCCACCCATGATTGTAACCATGTAGGCCTTAGGGTTCTGGGAGGGGAAACGGTCTGCCCGTGGCCTCACAGCCAGAGGCCTCCAGTCTCCATTTCAGGCTTTTCCTGGTAAGCCACAGCGCCCCGCTCCCTCCGCCCGCAGACACCCAGGGTCGAAGGAACACCTCCTGGTGCAACTTCTCAGTTCAGATTTGGGAAATGGATCTTAGGAAGATTTTTCAGAGCAGGATTTTGCAAATGTGTGATTTTAGGAAGCACATGAATGAAACAGCTCCGTATTTCAAGATGTGACATATATGTATACACGTATGTATGAAATATGGTATATCGTGATGTGCATGTGTGTGTGTGGAATCATGCAATAATATGTACTCTTTTTTGTCTGGCTTCTTTCACTTTCACTCGTTTTTATTATTTTGAGATTCACCCATTTCGCTGCATATATCAGTAGTTCATTCCTTTTACTGCTGTTGTATTTCACTGTATGTATATAGCTATAAAATTAGTAAAAAATACAAACTAATACATAGTGACAGAAAGCAAACCAACGACTGCCTGGGGACTGAGCGGGGCACAGAGGAGGAATGAGAGGGAGGGAAGAAACTGGAATGTGGGATGTGTCCACTATCTTGGTTGTGCTGATAGGCGTACCTATGTCAAAACTCATCACATTGTATCTTTTAAATATATGCAGTTTATTGTATGTCAATTACACTTCAATAAAGCTTTAATACATATAATACATTATATATGTAAAACCAACACCATCCAACCTGTGATTTGTGTATTGCTTAGTTCAAGGGCAGAGCAGGGATGGTGTTTATGTTTTTTTTAAAAGCAAGTTGATGGAGCCAGCCCCGCGGCCAAGTGGCTAAGTTCATGCTCTCTGCTTCGATGGCCCAGGGTTTCACGGGTTCAAATCCTGGATGCGGACATGGCACCACACATCAAGCCACACTGAGGCGGCATCCCACATGCCACAACTAGAAGGACCCACAACTAAAATACACAAGTCTGTACTGGGGGACTTTGGGGAGAAAAAGGAAAAATCAAATCTTAAAAAAAAAAACGTGAGTTGGCTCTTCTGCTTCTGGGGAAATGGCGAAGTCCTACTTTTCTCTATTTCTCTCACTAAGTACAACTAAAAACCCTGAAAGTTATATGTAAAACAAATATAGGAAGATTCTGAAAGGACGCATGGAGAAAGCAGACAAGCTAGGGAACATAGACCCAGTCAGAACACAGTGGTGAGTTCCCTGGGTTTTTGTTTTGCCTAATATATTGAATACCTGCAGCCGAAGAAGTCAGCAACCCAGACATGCCAATGGGCACAGGCAAAAATAGTCCCAGCAGAAGTCTGCTCTCTAGCCAAAGGACCAGGGAAGGGGCACTCTGGAAAGACAGAAATCTTTTAGACAGTAACCATCTACTCCAGCCAAAAACCCACCCTCACCCACGCCAGCAAAGGCTGAAAGGGGAGCCTAGACTTCCACCCGCAGCAGGCTTTAAGGAGGCCCCCAGCCACCAATGAGGCTCTCTTGCCTCAGTGTCAGTGCAGACCATGTGGGGAGCCTGGACTGCCACTGGACCTGGCAGTAATGAGGTGCCCCTCTCCCACCCCCTGGGGGTGGTGTCAGAGGAGGTCTAGTGGAGAATCAGGATGGTCACTACCACCATAGTGTCAGTAGAGAACACCCTAACCCAGTAAGAATGAGGAGCACTGCCCCCTCATGTCAACGGAGACCAAGTTAAGAACCTGGACTTGTGCCTCCACCTGACCATAACCAGGTGGTGCCTCCCGCTTCCCCTGCTGGAGTAGGATCACAGAACATCAGCCAGAACAGAAGGCTTAAATAAGATCTAGAGTCCATAAAAGGAAAATGTCCAGATTTCAAAAACTCACTCATATCAAGAATCAGAAAGATCCCAAACTGAATAAAAAGGACAACCAACAGATTACAACACTGAGATGACAGAGATGTTGTTCCTGACGAAGATTTTAAAGCAGCCGTGATAAAAATGCTTCAACGAGCAATTGCAAATATACTTGAAACAAATGAAAAGACAGAAATTCTCAGCAAACAGGCAGAAGGTATAAAGGGAACCAAGTGGAAATTTTAGAACTGAAAAATACAGTACCTGAATTAAACATCTCAGTGGGTGGACTCAACAGCAGAATAAAGGAGACAGGAAAGAATCAGTGAACTGGAAAATGGAACAATAGAAATTGCCAGTTTGAACAACAGAGAGAATATAGACTGGAAAAAAAAAAGGAACAGAACTTCAGGGCCTTGTGGGACTATAACAAAAGATCTACTGTTTGTGTCATCAGAGTCCTGGAAGGCAGGAGAAAGAGGGCAGGGCTGAAAAAGTACTTGAAGAAATAATGGCTGAAAACTTCCCTAATTTGGTAAAGGATATAATCCTACAGATTCGAGAAGCTGAATGAATGTCAAAGAGGAAAGCCCAAAGAAAGCCACTCCAAGATGTATCATGATTAAATTTCTGAAAACTAAAGATAAAGAAAAAAAAATCACGAGAGCATCCAGAGAAAAACGACACTTTACGTATGGGGGGAAACAATTCAAATGACACTAGGTTTCTTATCAGAAATCGTGGAGGCCGGAAGGAAGGGGCGCAGTATTTTTCAAGAGCTGAAAACCTGGAATCCTACAGCTCGTGAAGACGTTCTTCAGGAATAAGGGAAAATCTAGGCATTTTCAGATGAAGGAAAACCAAGAGAATTTGTACCTCCCCTAAGAAAGATGGCTAAAGGAAATTCTCTAAACAGAAAGGAAATGATAAAAGAAGGAACTTTGGAACATCAAGAAGGATGAAAGAACATGGCAAGCAAAAATATGGGT